GATGAAGATGAAGATGAAGATGAAGATGAAGATGAAGATGAAGATGAAGATGAAGAGGAAGATGAAGATGAAGATAAAGACAAAGATGTTGGCCACCTCAACTCAACTCAACTCACTTCACCTCTGCTCATCTTAACTCGCCTTAATTTACCTCAACACATCTTAATTTACTTCAACGCTCCCAAACTCACCTTATCTCAACGCATCTAATATTAGCTCACTTCCTGGGCACACCTGAACTCAACTGAACTCATCTCAATTAACATAAACTCACGTCAGTTCTCCCCAACTCACCTCATCTCACCTTAACTCACGTCAGTCCCTTTCACCTTAAGGCATCAACCGTCAAACATTTTGAATAAGTATTTTCTAAGTCAAATAAAATACAAGTTTTTTATAATGTAAATATGTATTGGACTTACATTAGTATTCTGGGGTTAACATGGTTAGCAGTGATTAGGAATATGTAGGCTGGCAAATCAGCCAGAGGTTAATATGCCAACTGTTAGCTCCTCGGAAAAATATTTCTAGCCTCAATTGATATTACGCTTTTCTCATGCAGTGAGTTCATACAGACCATCGCTAAAGATACCCTAAAACAGTTGTTAGATAGGTGCTTTCTATAGTTCTTTAAAGAAAATTGAAAATGAGAGATTCAGCACAGTGGCAAAACTCTTTACTCGGTGTAAGTAAGGTGGCTTTGATCAACCAGGTTTACCTTGCATCCGAGTAGTTCTTAAACTCAATGCATGTCCGTGTAAAGTCTATCAAGAGCAAGATTTTTAGGTCTTTGAAAGATCGTTATTTTTTATTTTTGATCAAGAATAACACCGACACACAAAAAAAAAGGAGGTGTGTGACTTTAACAAGACCCACATACCAACATGTATTTCGACCCGCTAAATCTGAGTCTGATGTCCGTTTTTACTGCGATTTTATTACCATTTCTCGGTTTTTCGAAATTTACCCGAAAGTTAGGAGGTGTACGAAACAAACGGACCTCAGATTCGAATTTAGTGGGTCGAAATACATGACGGTAGGTTGGTGTGGTTAAAATCACTTTTTTATGTGTGCCAGTGTAATCGTTAATTTTGGATTTTAAATTTTTTCCGGTTTTTATTTTATTCCGATAAAAAATAATCATTTTGGATTTTTATTTTTTTCAACAATTGTTTGCTGCTATAATGTAGATTACGTTTTTATGGCCGATTTAAATCTTTTATGACCTAAAGAATTAAATCTGAAAATAACGGTTATAATATGATCGTATAAATAAAAATCAAAAACTAACGGTGAACTTTAATCGGAAACATAGAAATCAAATATTAACGGTTAAATTATGATTTATAAAAAGGTTTAAAAATCCTGTCATGAGGAATTGGTTTTGGTCTTAGCTACTCGGAATTGCAGCTATACCATATATACTTACTAGAAACACGAAGCTGCTGGCATATGCAGGTGACATTGACATCGTCAATAGAAGAGCCCTGTGAAAAAGGACATATCGGTAGTTGTGATACTCCGCAAACGAGAGATGTAAATGGCGAATAATTCTTTAGTATCGGTCCCAAACGAAAAACGCTTGTAGTATCGAATAAGAAGGAGATCTGCAAGAAAGAAAATCATTCTTAAAACATTCTACGATATGATAACGTATAATTTTCTTTTAATAGGCGCGCATTTAATTCAATGATTGCTATCATAATCAGCAATTACAATTTAGATATTCCTGCTGTCATACATAAAGTTATGTGCATGCCAATTTGTCCCATATGCTATGTCACACATATCTGTGTACATAATATCCGCTTCCAGTACTCTTCTACTCGGCAGCTTAAATCGTATTAAAGTTTCACTTTCTATGCGCGCCAAACAACCGGGAAAATCCTTACGCGTTCTGCGATTTACGCGCCATTTGCGCTCTTTCGCACAAATTAATGTGCTGCTGTGTGGGTGCATGCGTACGTTCGTTCGAAAACGTGAGTGTGAGCGTATGGCTGGCAACGCATTTCAATGTTTGTTATCTTGGAACATGCCGTTCTATGAATGGTTCAACTATATTTTCTATTAATAATCCGCTACAGCACTTCAGCAAACGCACCAGTGAACGCAAGACCATGCTTGAGAGCTTTGTGTTTTATGTACATACATACATATGTATGTACTATGTACCTAGTAACGTGGAGTATTGTTCGTTCATTCCTTTCGGTACGATTGTAGGCATGCTGGAGTTGGTGCTATTGGCACTGGCTCTTCTTCTGCTTCAGCATCATCAACTGATAGGATCCATGTTAATTTTTTTTCTTCTCGTTTTTGTAATCCACCATGTTGTTGTTGCTGGTTGCTTTTATTTCATTCGGTTCATCTGAAAGTGCTAGTTGATCTGATGGTAGCAACAAGAACCGTTAGGTGTTTTTGCTGTATTTATTGTTGTACACTACCTTACTTGATGCAAGAAGAAATTTAATCAACGTTGCTACCCTCCAACAAGTTCTAATTTTTGTTTTCTCATCATACGTTTTACCATTTTTTGGCATTATTCTCTAGCTTTTTTTACTGCTTTTAACAGGAACCGTTCTACGCATTTACTAAGTTGTTTTCCTCAAACGTACCAACGTACTAACCAACGAGCGAGCTAACCCTCCACAAATGAAACAAGAAAAGCTTTGAAAAGGCACACCCACCATACGCACGCACTAGACACCTACATACAAGGACTACTACAAAAGATAAAAAAATGAGAAAAAATAACAGACAAGTTGAAAATGAAATGAGAAATAACAAGAAAAAAGAATAAAAAAACGCTAAGGCTTAAGTAGAGAGCAAAATCCTGGAACGGCGAGTGAGCTCGACAGCATCACTACACCGCATCAACAGCCTGCCAGTCGGCATCAGCAACAGCTGAAGCAATGGTTTCAGCGCCAGTATACCACAAGAGCATCATCCTCTTCAATGTATAGCGACCGACGTTTGCCAAGTTGGGCGCTAAAACAACCCAACTCTTAGGTCCTTCCAAGTAGCAACACTTTGAAAGGCGTGCGAACGGTTGGGTTTGTGGGTGGTGCAATTTGGTTTAGTCAGTTGTTTGGCATATAGCAACTGAACACCGTTGAACAGACTACCTCAGCATTCGCATTCATTGACATACATTCTGATGAGTGTAACTTCTGTTAAAAAAGTACCCGAAATTGGGTACCACATTGGGAATGCCACAATCACATTTTCCAATACTTCTTCCGAAGATCGTATTTAGAAGATGGTTACGGGTGGTCAGGCTGATCCGACTCTCTGAAGGTAGATTTCAAATTTAGCATCCCCGACATGAAAACTCAGAACAGTCCGTATGATTAATTTTGTGGCTAAGGCAAACTTCAATGAATTAAAAAATGAATACGCACGAATAAAAAAAGCATTATTCGCGATAGAAGAATCAATTAACAACAGAATTCAAGATCAAATTTATTTTCTTGATAGCACGAGCAATAGGAGCATTGTGTGTTGATGGAGTGTTTTCCATATTTTTTTCCTTTCTACTCGTGGCTTAAATGACTTTGGAATCTCACGACCATGATGTCTTGTTCATGAATAATTTATAGCAACTATAGCATAATCGCCAAATTTTATCACGCGTTCCCCAAAGGGTGGTTGTAAAGAGTCATTTACATCGTTTATTGAATCCTCAAAGTCTGAGTTGGCCATTTCATCAGCTGTCTCATATTCTTCGATATCGGCATATTTTACTTCTTTGGATCGTATGGCTTTCGAAACGGTATAATAATAATAATATATTTCCGCTTACACATATGTTAGTATTTGGCCGAGCTTCTCCACCGATTTGTGGCGTGCGCTTTGATGTTGTCACGCAAAAGGGAGGGACCTAAAGTTTTACGTCGACTCCGAACGGCGATTGTATTATTGCGAGAAGCTGTTTTTCATGGCAGAAAACCACTCGGAGGTTTGCCATTGCCTGCCGAGGGGCGACCCCTATTAAGAAAATAACCTTTTTTTTCTAAATTTCTATCGCGATGTTGCTTTAACCAGGGCTTGACCCCAAGCCCTGCGTGGTGGAAGCGCGCACTGCTAACCAATGCACCACATCTGTGACAGGGCTTGGTTATTGATAAAGATAGTGGCCGAAAATGTGGTATTTTGTGGAAGACACGCTGATTTCCCTAACTAATAACGCTCAGCTTCTAATCGATTGCATTTGTTTCGCAAACGATACTACAAACTGATCCACCGGATCACTGAGTGGACACCGACCCCGGGCGCTTACCCATCTGCAAAGACCAAATGGAGCTGGTCTCGCCTTCGATGGGCATTTGACAATTGGAGCGCCTTAGAACTGGAACGCCAGGTTAGTATAGAAATTCAAGAGTTTTCGGTCAAATAGTTGGTGATAAGACGATATGTTTCGGCCGAAATACAATGAGCTTTACAATTACTACTTTATGCAGAAATTTGGTTTGGCAAATTGCGTGAAATTGTTTTTGCGGCAAACTCGTAGAGAGCGAGTTTACCGACTCTCACAGTAAACTAATAGGTGCTTTCCCTAACAATCCGGACCAGATCCGATAATTAGAGAATAAGCGAAAAGTTTGCTCTCAAAAATGGAACATAATCCAGAAGTACGGGAACGCAAAAACCACATTTCGTGGCCAGAATTTGAGAAACAGCTGACTCATTTTTCATGATTGATTTTAAGTATATAAAGATTGCAAATACATCAACTATTCCTTAAAAGCACCAAGTAAATACAGGCAACATGTAAACACAAAACATTTACCATTTTTACCCGGAGCTGTTTAGTCCGGGCTGTTTCGGGCAGGAAGAAGAAGACACATATGTACAATCCAATACGTTCCAATTTTCGCTCTCTATTACCCATTTTGTTGAGTACGGGAATGATTTCTTGGCTGCTTTGGGCAACCGCGGGATCCCGCATTGCGTACGTGAAGAACCTTATATTTTTGGGCCAAACTGCTGTAAAATTAGCGTTTCCATATACAAAAGGTTTAGGTAATTGTTGTTATACACAAAAATTGCAATGATTCTAAAAGACAGAGAATTTAATTTATGCTGTATGAGGTTCAAAGTTTGGGGCACTGTTAATTGCCTATACAATATTTGATCTAAGTACATCTGCAATTTTTATTTCTTGTTGGCAATAACCATAAAAACTACAACCAATGTGCAACCTTGTGCTAAACTCGAAGTAATCACCTCCGAGCAAACTAAGCAGCCGCCATTTAATTTGTCAAACAAAAGTTTGCCTGCATAAGGCTATCTGTACAATTGTCGTCCAATCATAGTTGCGTTATCGTCTCGCCCTAAAATTTTGAGCCGAGCACACGCATTTCAAAGGAGATCTGCACACTTGTCGTTATCGGCTAGTTATCGGCGAATTGTAGAAGATACAGAAACGGATTAGTACGACACTTTCGTTTGCTAATCGTTATTCGCGGATTGTTTTTTCACATTAAGTTAATATTACATAAAAATTACTAATTCTTACATACATCCTGTGGAAATTATTATAAAGTGGATAACTGTAATAAAATTCAAAAAATGTGTGAGCTTTAACTATCAAATATGTCGAAATTGTAAAAACTCTGCGTGCGATCACAAAACACATTTGAGGAAAAGAAAAGAAGAGAGATTAATAGAAAATTGTGTATAGCATTATTGTATGGTAATTCGATCTGAATTACGTTTAAATGAGTTAATTCGCTCTCAAGATCTTGCATGGCGAATTACGAATGAGAGAGCGAATTACGAATCGTGGAAACGACGTATAAACAAGAAATTCCGCGAACTTTTTAAACAGAAGAGAAAAACATACGTATCGCCCAAGTTAATTTACCTCGTCGTTCGCATATTTTGCTCGTCTTCAACGCCACAGCTACCAGCCAGCTGAAATGTTTTTCTCTACCATCACCGTTATCCGATGCCTGGTGTTTGCTATTCAACCTCGTCGCAGTCGTTGCTTCCATCCGTTCAACACTGAGCAACATACACAAAACTCACTTCATTCTGATTCATGCCGTAATTCTCAACTGCCTTCCGCCGCCCTACTTCTACTCCTGCCCCGTACTCAATGCCACCTCCTTAAGTTTATTGCTATTACGTCGTTCTCTTATTTCGTAGTCATCTAACTTGCACGGTGTATTCGAGCTCGTTGCTAGCTGTGGTCAGGGCTGCCAACTATCCTTAGCTATGAGGTGCTATATTGAGAATGAAAAAGTGCCAAATGTGCCAAATAGAATAATAAAAGTGCCAAAAAAGGTACCATTCTTTTTAATCATTCCCATTTAGCAATAAAATGAGAACCACATTTTCAAAACAAAATTGCGATGATAAAATAAGATAAACCAGTTGAATAGCGTTTATAAATTAGAAAAGTTTAGTTGAGAAAAAGAAGTACCTAGGGGCAAAGGATTTCACAAAAATGTTATTTTTTTACAAAGCGCCATTTCGGCACTTTGTGTTGACTTGAAAAATTAAGTGCCATTTGAATTAAAATAGGGTCAAAAATGGCACGGTTTGAGCCAAGTTGACAGTCCTGGCTGTGGTACACATTCTTCGTTGAGTCTGATGCTGCCGTAACATTGGCTCTTACGACGCGTCGCACAGTGTTGCGACTCCATATAATGCGCAAAATACACCACACAAATAAGTATTTGCGCAAATATCAATTAGTTCAATTAAGAATCGAAAAAAAATTCGAAAAAATCTTATTTGTATCAATTTGTATTTGCGCAAATATTTGAGTGGTGTTCAATTTCAATTCTATGCCAATTTTTTCATAAAACATTTTGAGTAGAGGTGTTAAATATGATCCGGTTTTGATTTAAATTGCTACGCGTCTTTTGTGCTACTTACGAAAACTACAATCTCCATTTATAATCCTTTCAATAATCATCCCATGTGTTTACGTTTTATACTTGTCTTTTTGAGAATTCGCAGAGTCTTTGGTATGCGACATTTTTCCTAAAAATTTGATTTATCTTTATTGAATAGTTTGAACAGAATTCATATTGACCACACTGTGCGCCGTCTGCTCACCACCATCAACCCTTGTGGTTATTCCTGAGTTCAGACGGCTCCAACGACTTGCTTCATTATTTCTTACCTCCCCTGCTTGGCGCTGGCTTGTTTTCCAGCTAAAGCTTGTCGTTGCTCATTGTTCGTTGCTCTGCAATATGGGTCTGCAATATCTTCTAGTTTCTAGTACTCTGTGCATTGCTTAAGTTTTCCTTTATTTTGGTATACTTCGGTGCTGTTGGATGGGCATGAGAACATTTGTTGCATGTAGAAAGTATACAGTACCGTAGGAACGTCGCAATTACGCATTCGCCTTTGCTCCTCTGCTACCGAGCTATTTCTTTTGCTTGGTTGCTTAAAAATATTAGATCACTTCTGAAAACCCCAACAGGAATTTATATTCCTTCCCAATTTCATAGCATTATCTATGGAGAAAACTAATATTGCCAACTGAGGCAGAAAAAAAAA